TTGGAAAATAGAGAATATACTTTGTACGAAGTTTAATTTAAATTAAATATTCATTATGCATGACCCCATAAGCTACTGAACTTTAATTTTTATAGCCTGCATATCAAACATTCCCATACAAGCCCAACAACTTAGGCCGCACAAAGGAGTTTTTTTGCATTTGGCCGTGCAAAAAATGGGGCGTTATCATGCGTTAATTAAGGTTGTTTGTCTGTCTCTCTGTCTGTCTACACACAAAAAATGCAGGATATTGTATATTTGATAAGGCTAATATTACAAGTGAATAAGCTTATATGAAATATCAAATATTTGAACTATGGAGAAAGATATGAAGACATGATTGATCATTATACGCACAACTAGTATTTTTTTTTAAATAATTTTTTTTATTTCATGCACAACAAATTACTTTACAATAAGATACTAAAAATGAGTCAAAGAAAAATGAAACTACTTGCAATGCGATAACAGTAACAAAACAACACTTGTGCTACTAAGAACAATACTAATACTACGATACAATACAATTACTTAACAAATTGATAAATTTAATTAAGTTACTTACAAATGGATAGTAACAGTGTTTGCATTTGCACAGCTAGCCTCCAGTAATTTATTTTTCAAAAAGTTGGACCATTTTTGTTAAAAGAAGGTAGTTTATTTGTCGTAATCACGATGTATTTTTTTAATTCAATTTTTTCTTTAACAAAGGTTACAAAATCTGTGAACTGGGGTCTTATTTCATCATGTACTGCATTAATATAAAGAAAATGTTTTCCAATCATGATCAAGTGATTTAGGGTTAAACTGGATGAGGTGTATCTTAAAACAACATGTATAATTTCGTTTTGCTCCAAAGCAATGTTTCCTCCACATGTAGCGTGGTACCACTTTGTAAATTTATTCCAAAAGGATTCAGCAATTGGACATTCCACAAATAAATGGAGTGGTGTTTGATTAATGTCATGGCAATAAGGACAATCTGGTTGTTGTTTCGTTTTCATCTTGTACAGAATTTTATTTGTATACAGAATATTATGAACTATTTTATATTGAAACACAGATAATTTTACCTCACTTGTGACACGAAAAGGAAGTGAGTAGATTTTTTGTCTTTCTTGAAAGATAAAGCCACATTCAATGAGTCTTCTCTCTGCAGTTGGAGGAGGGAAGTGCTGGTGATTGAGTAAAGTATTGTAAATTGTTTTGCATGTGAGCTTTTCGATTGCAAGTGTTACGTATTCAGTTGACGGTAGAAGACATTCCTGCTTTAGCATAGTTTTCCATTCCTGTGGTATTGTAGATAGAAGACTGTAATACTGTAGAAAAGTACTCTTAACATATTTCTGCGTGAAGGTTGTAAAAGTCATCAAGGTGTTGCTTTCGTTGTCAAAAAGGCATGAGAGATTTTTCCAACCAGGGAAAAAAACAGATGACTTGTTTGCTCAAATAAACTGATTGTTCCATATTATTCGATTTAACACTTCTCCTTTTGTTTTCGGGTTAGTGCTATTAATTTTCTGCCAGTGGGAAATTATATCTCGATAGAATTTTGGTAAGTTTTCATTCAGGGGTAAATATTGAATGTGATAGTTACACCAGAAAAGAAAGTTGCTGCCTACATTGGAAAGTAAGGATAGTGGGATAAATTTGCATGGTCTTTTATCGTTAGCGCATAAGCGCTTTACCCAGACTATCTTTAATGATTTATCAAATAATGTAAAATCTAACGTATCAAGTCCTCCCTCCTTCTTATTTTTGATTATAGTCATTTTTTGGGGGTTTTGGATTCTTGTACTTCTATATGTTATCGAATATTATGTTATTTACTTTATCGGTAAACCCTTTTGGAGTGTCTAACATGCTGCAGATAAAAGTTAGTTTGGATATTGCCAATGTTTTGTCTATATTTACTCTCCCATATATAGATATGTCTGGAGACGACCAAATGTTCAGTGTCTTTTTAAGTTTAGGCAACTTTTCAAAGAAGTTTCTTTCAGTGGCAAGTTCTTCATCATCAATTTTAGATTTAGAATGGCATCTTTTCTCTGATGTAATGATCCCAGTCAAAGAAGTATTTGAAGTATTTGAAGGGGGGATAAAGTTAAATCAGGGCTTTTTTTGTACTTGAAGGGAGGTGATTTTATTAATTCTGGTTCATTTTTGCACCAACCATATTTCCTTCCATTATTGTATATAAACAAGGACTGGCACTTAGTTTGAGTCAACTGGCCTACAAACTTGTTACTTTGAGAGTGAATTGTATCAACAAAAGACTATTTTCACTAGTGCTGGAAATACTTTTTCTTACTTGGAAGTGATTAACAATTTAAGTAATAAACTGAAAAATCAATCCAAAGTCATACACAAAGTAATACTTTCAAGAATACTTAGCAGTGATTATTGGACAATTGTCAATGATGAAAGTACACATATTTGTTTCACATCAATGCAAGTGTGGAAAGTCCATTTCAGCAGGAAATATGCCAAATCAAATGAATTAACAACAACAACAACAAGGTTTATTTGAACTGTAAAATTAACTTAATTACTAATAAATAAATGCATTAAAAAATTAATTCATACATAAACAGTTGCTGGTCACCCAAAATAACTAAAGAGCTAAACTAGTTGGGTATATATTTCAAAACAAACATGATCTGTAAACAAGATTTTCAGGACAAACTACTATTTCATTTAGGTACTCAGATATGATGTCCAAACATACTGTAAAATTAATTGAACAATATTTTAAAAAAATGGCCAAGGACGGACTGTTATTTCCAGCACTGCACCTGTGACATCAACAACCCATTTAAAAGCATACTCAGTCATAACAGGTGTCACTGTACATGTAGCCTTCTCTCCTCTCCCCACAAAGAATGTACTTGCAGGGTACTCTCTGCACAAGTTATGGTTTTTAATGACAGCCTGTAAACACAAAGATAGGGTAAACATTTTTTAATAATATATTTTATTTTAGGTGATATAGTTGGACTTGGTTGGTTAAATGCCAACCAAAAAGCCAGTGACATTGCCTCTGGAATCGTTAGCCGTGTAACCCAGACAGCTATAACAGTAGCATTTGATGAGACAGCTGACAGCCTTGCATTTGATGATGACGGGCCATTTAAACTTATCAAACTAGCAAATGACATTACTCACAAGAGGATCAAAAGGTTTGCGAGGAAAAATGTTCTAATAAAAGTTCCTTATCTAGTGCATTATCTTTCTGATTTCTAATACGATAAACATCCAATTTTGACATATGATACGAATGTTTTGTTTCTGCAAATATCTTTGCACCCCATTGAAGGTATTTTAATTTGCGGTTAGAATTTGCCATCCCCACCCCCCCTCCCCTGCCCCGATCTGTCTGGAAATTCCATTTTATCTTCATACTTTCCTTCAAAAGTTTTGTATTTTAAGACCTTCCACTCCCTCCGCATTTCCGTTGACCTTGGAGCTTACATTTTTACATATGTAAGCTGAACAAGTCTGAAGCAACCCCAGATGAACCAATTGCAATAAAATTTAGCTTTGAAATTTTTTGATTTTGGAAGCCAAAATGTTTTAATAACATTGTAAGTTGTTAACTGTCTAGGACTAATCTGCTGCTTTTTGACTTTTAGCGCCCTTGATACTTTAACTAAGTACAGAGAGGGACCTGCTGCTCACTTAATCGATGTGCTGTTTGGACATTTGTCTCCTGGGTCGCCATTACAAATAAGACCTTTTACTGAAGGAGGGGAGAAGCCTTGTGTGTTCTTCAATCCTGATCTTGATGATTCACAAAGGCAAGCTGTGAAGTTTGCTTTATGTCAGAGAGAGGTAGCCATTGTTCATGGCCCCCCTGGAACTGGAAAAACCACGACTGTGGTCGAGATCATTATCCAGGCAGTCAAAAATCTCAACATGAAGGTGAGGTTTAATATCACTCAGTTTGTTGGGATAGCTTATCTCTAGATCAGTGTAGCTGAATAGTGTTTTATCATGAACACCACAGTAATTTTGAATTTGAAATACTTGGACACCTCTCTGAAGTGTAAAACTCAATATAAAATGGACACCTATACAGTGCACATACTGTGAGTGATCTCCTAGGGTGCATTTCATTGGAAACAGGGATGAACTGAAGAATCCACTCTAGGCATGGATTCTTTGGTTCCTTTGATGCATCATGATCAGAGTGATCTTCAATTTATTAATCTTTTTAGTTAAGAAACACAAAAGCCATTTTTGAATTTAAGAATCCAATCTTGGATTTTCCCAAAGAAATGCACCCTTAATTGCACAATTCAATCTCCAAAGCAAGTGTCCTCATCTTTACAGCATATGCAGACCTTGATATGTACAGAAGACAGCTCAATATGTAATTTTAAAAAAGAAGACACCTCGGACCTCATACGTTCTTATTGTACACTGAAAGGGAAGTTCCAAGCCTGTTCCAGTTAGTAGTTGGGGAGGAGCAAAAAAAAAAGGCGAGCAAGAGAAAAAATTAGGAAGGGATCTTTTCCCTTCCTTGCCTTTGTCCTCCCTCATTTTTCTCTCGCTCACCTCTTTTCTTTGCTCATCCCCAATTCCTGAGAGCCTGGAACAGGCTAGGAAGTTTCCTGCCCAGGAACTCAACACCACTGCAAAAGCCAGCCTACAGATTTGAGGCCACTGCATAATAATTATCTAGACTGGCTATTATTAAATAATACTCATTCGAGTAATGATTTGATGTGGTTTTATGACAGGTTCTAGCTTGTGCACCTTCAAATGTTGCAGTAGATAACATGGTTGAGAAGTTGGTAAAAGGTAAACTAAAGGTAAGAGAAAAAGAATTCCATTTTTCACTTGCATTCACTGAAAGGTTCATATGGTATTTTCTGGACAGCAATTTAAAGTGCCCAGTAGAGCTTTATTATTTTAACAACAAATTGCTTAAACATCACGTGGACAATATTGCTCCAGTGATTTGGTTAAACGTCGGTTCACAAACTGCTGTTTATTAAAATTCTTTAAAAACCCTATAAACACCGTGAGAACTAAAATAAAATATACAAGTAAACAACAAATGAGCTTGCGAAAATAACAGGATATAAATACATTTCACATGCTTCGAAAGTTGCAAAAGTGAAAGGAGAAAACTTAAGATCGATTTACAGTAACGGTAAAACGATGCCGTATACAACTTAACTTTATCTAAAACCTTAAGACTTAAATTTACAATTCAGAAGCGGTGAAGCTGAACTTAAACGACTAAAGATACAAACCGCTTACATAAACGAAGTAAAATAGCGTAAAAAATAATTACCTTGGTACTGCCTTGATCACCAGAACAATGATAAACTTGGAGAAACTTGTTAACTTGCGGTGAATTAACAGATCTTGCG